CCCTGCCTTTGGCCTCACTCCCTGTAGCCTGCCACCCACACCAGTGTTCTGCGTGGTCTTCCCATGATGCCGATCTCCGTGCTTCCCAGGGCCTCGAGGCTCCTGTCACGGCCACACATGGGTCCACACCGCCCATTCCGGAAACTGTGAGCCCCAGCCTGGGAGTTCAAGCGCACAGACCCACGCCAGCAAACTGGGAGCAGTAAGGATGGCATTTTCTCATTTATCAATATGTGCTTTGTAAGAAGAGTCTTTTCTTTTAGATTATAATCTGTTAGAGTCAGTGGTATTGAGGACAGAAGACAGTTGCGTGTATACGAGCTTGCGTGCGTGTGTCGGCTGTTAGTTGGCACCAAGGACAGTCGGCATCTCTATGAGGATCCTGATTTTATACATGGACATTTTACTGGGTTTCTGAGCCTCAGAGATGGGGGACGTCAGATCTCACTTCCCTGCGTTGTCCTCCCGCCGAAACGCCACTTACTGTCGTGACGTTAGGAATTTGCACGTTTTACTGAACTCCCAGTCAATCGCCCAGGCCCCGCTCAAGTACCCCCGTCCCCACCAGCCTGCTCGGAGTTTTCCACCCCGGGCGGGTAGAGGGGCTTCCTCTGCAGCTGTCATCCTCTGCCGGTTCTTCCCGGTGACTCCATGCCCCTTGGTCTCCCCCATGGTCACCAGGGTGGGGGTGGCCAGCGCCTCTTCGTCTGGCCTCAGGCCTGGCATAGAGCTTTGTTCACAGAAGAGAAGATGCCTGTTACATATTGCAGGATGGATTCTTTTGAGTGGGGAAGGACTCCGAGGAGAGAGTCCACGCTCTGTTGGTCCGCATCCCGGCTTCTCGTTTTCCAGTTTCTTAAAATCACATTCTAAGGTCGTCTCATGATTCCCCTGTTGGCTCGCTTCCTCCTCGACCAGCAAGTGAGCTTCATGAAGCAGCATGTCCATCCTGTTAACTTCTGTGTCTCAAGCTCAGAACAGCCCTGGCACACGGCAGGCCTCAGCCGATACCTGACGCATGAGTTTGTGAATGAATGAATGAATGAATGAATGAAACAAAGAAGCCAAGATCCTGATCCGGTACTGTTTGACACAGACGGCGCCTGTGGCACCCGGCGCCTGGCCTGCCCCCTGGCGAGGCAGCTTTCCCCGCATCGCGTTTCAGGGGGAAGGGGTCCTGCGGAGGTGGACGCAGTCAGCACAGAGAAGATGAGGAAGCAGACGTGCCTGTTGTCACTCGGGCTGGGCTTCAGGGTCAGACGCAGGGGGCAGGTCCTGGCAGCCTTGCATCCCGGGTTCACAGGTGGAGCAGGTGCTGATTGGAGCACCTCCTGGCTGCTGCCAGGTGCACGGTGATGAACACAATGGCCACAGGTCCTGTGCTTGTGGCGCTTACATTTGTTCTGGTGGGAAAGGTGACCGCAATGAACTACATCCCAGGACGCTATCTGTGAGTGCCCAGAGCTCCGATGGAAGGGGCCGGGATGAACAGGGGAGGTGGCCACGCGTCCCTCGCTGCGTGTTCTGGAACAGTGCCTGACCTCGAGGTTTGCGGGATCCACCCATGGGGGAGGGAGGTGGGTTGGCTTCTGGGGGACGGGCACACTGACTGCTGTGAGCCTGTGAGGGGCCTGGGAGAGGGTTGGAGGTGCCTAAGGGACAAGAGGGACCCGGAGCCAGCGCCTTCCGTCAGTTGGGGAGCTGGGGGACCCCGCCTGCCCAGTAGCTGCCTGTTGCTCTTCCTCATGCCCTGTGGGGAAACACTTTTGTTAATCAGCTGCTGACATCTCAGGCAGCAGAGGCCCCCTAGGACTTAGCACCTCGTGTTTCTCGGAGGCTGAGCCGCTCGCTTATGTGCTCACTGCTCCAGCCCTCCCCAGCGGGAGGGGCTTCCTCGGCCGCTCCGGAGAGACTCGGGGTCCAGGCGCTGGAGACCGAGGGGAGAGGGCAGGCACCCCCAGCCCTCCCTTCTCTCTGGGCGCACGCGCACGCACACACACACACACACACACGGACACACGGTGCACACCCACCCGTGTCCGCTTGCTCCCCCGGACCCCCGTGCACACAGCGGGTGACACGGTGCTGCCCTCTCTGTCCTCGAGGCATTTATAGGTCATTCCTAACCGAGCAGCCTGACGTCTCCTCTGAAGCTGCTGCTCTTGGGTTGCAGGCCGCAGGGTTCAGACGCGCTCACGGGCCTGGCCCTGGGCCCGAGCCACCTGGGGGGGCAGAAGGAGAGAGGACTCATGCTCCCCCCGGATCTCTGGAGTCTCTCATCCCCTGGGCTTGGGAGTCTTTGCCTCCCATGACAGTCGACTTCTTGGAGTCGCTCAGACGAAGGCGTCTGTCCTGCTCGAGCGTGTTGCGTGTTGGCTAAGTGAACACGTCAGACCTTAGGAGGTGAGGGTCCCCAGGGCTCCCTGCGGAATTCTGAATCCAGCCCGAGCCGCTGCCTGCCTCCCCAGCCGCATCCACAGCTCGCCTGCTGCGTTCTTCCTCCATGCCCTTGACCTTCCTCCTTCTCCACCTGGTGCCCCGGACCAGGGTCTCAGCAATGCGGTAGCAAACGGAGTGGGATCCGCGGTCCGATTTGTAGTTTATTCGTGCCGCTCCTTCTTTGCTCTGCCTGCTGGGAAGCTCAGAGCCGCATGCGCCCTCCTCCGGCACCCACCAGGGCCTTTAGCCCCGTGAAGCGGCGGTCCTGTCTAGATCCCCTGCCTCAGGGGTCCCTCGATGGTCACTTCATCTCGTTGGGCGTGTGTGTTCCTGACAACCGCCAGCGTCCTTCGTGGAAGTTGGTGAGGTTTAAAGAGCAGTGACGATGCTTCCCGGTCTCCATGCCCACGTCTGGGGGGCTTCATCTTCCACGAGCCCTGAGGCTTGGGGAGACCTGGCCGGCTCCCTCCCCAGGGTGCCAGAAACGCCTCCGGGACAGCCAGCTTTCTGGGGACACCTGGCACTGGCCGTTCCACTCCACTGGCGTCCGCGGGCGGGGGAAGGCGCGGCGAGGCCAGCGTGGATAAACTCCCTCTGGAGGAGAGGCCCCGGCTGCATGCGGACGCCCCGAACGTGGGGCCGGGATGTCGCAGCGGGGGGTGACCGGCACCCTCCTCTCCCGGACTCCACCTCTGCCCCAGCTGCATGCCGGGGGCCCCGATGGGGTGCCAGGCACTGGGGTCACGCGGAGAAGGCCATTGCCTTTGGAGCCTTGCCGGTCGCGGAGCCTGCAGGAGGAGCGGGGACGGCCTGGGCTCATCCCGGATGAGAGGCGTCTGCCCGGCGCTGCCCCGCGGGGCCCTGCGGACATGGCCCCATGCCGCTCAGGCTCAGGGACAGCGGGCGGTGGGGCAGAGCACACAGCCGCTGGCCTGCGCCGGCCCTGGCTCAGGCCTCTTGCCTTGGTGTCCCGTTGTTGGTGTCCGGCCCTGGGTGATGAATTCACACAGTCACCGTAGAAGCAGGTTAGACATTCGGGGGGGGTCTCTGGATTCGGGCTGCTCTCGAGGACGTGCCTCGCCCCAGCATCCCTCTGTGTGACAGCTGACGAAACGGCTCGCGGCTCTGGGCCTCAGTGTGCTCGCCTGTAAAATGGACACAACCGTCTCTACCCCACAGACTCACCAGGGGGGTGAAATAACACCCGGCACGCGGGGAACGGGGCTGGGTCTGACGGAGACCGGCCTGTCACAGGTCCCTGGCGCCTCTGGCTGCTGCTGGCCCCCTCCACCCAGGCGGCCCTGGGAGGTGACATCCGAGCGCTCGAAGGGGATCGGGGCCTTGTCACTGCCGGAAGGGCCGTCCGTCCCTGTCCCAGGAGGGGCTGCGGCAGCTCGGGCGTGCCGCTCTCCGTCCTCCCACGGAGCCGGCCTGAACTCGGGGCTCAGCTCTGCCCGTCGGCCGGGGCTCCGGAGGGGCTGGTGGGGACGACACTGCTCCGTGGTACAGGAGTCTCCGTTTCACCTTTTTGTTAGTAGCATTTTGTTTTCCATTCTAACGTCATTTCTTTACAAAAAACACACGTCCTGCGCGGCCTATGGCGAAGTGCATGTCATCCTCCAACAGCCAGTGCTCCCCCTTCCTTGGCGGGACCCACAAGTGCGTTCTCCGCGCCTGCCAGCAGGTGCGTGTGTCCGGCCCCCGTTCGCCCACTGGCGGCACACGCTGCGCACCTTGCGTGCTGGCTCTTTTGACCTCCTGATTTTGGGGGGCCTTCTGCACACAGCCATCCGCCCCGTTCCTTCCCACCCATTGGTACACAGGTCACGGAGGGGAAAGCTGGTGGCTAAGCCAGGGCCGGGTCGATGGGCAGGTGGGTTGCTGCTGGTCTCTCGCGTGACAAACAGCGGTGCTGTGCATGTCCTCGGACCCCGTCTTTTTGCACCCCACACAAAGTGGCCTCGTCCTCCAAACAGGGAAGGGCCCCAGCGCTGCTTTGCTCTGACTGTCCAGGGCTGGGTCGTTCTGCGGCTGTTCTGGGTCATTCTGCAGGGCCAGCACTGTGCCCGGGGCCACGCGGCTCCTCCGCACACACGCAAGGAGCTGCGGGAGCACAGGCCCAGGGGCAGGTGGGGAGAGACTTCCTGGGGGGGTCCGAGTTAGCCGAGCAGCTGACGTTTACGGGGCGGGGGAGGAGCTGACGAGGGGAGCAGCTCCGGAGGCGGGCATGGCACGAGCAAAGGTCCTGGGGTGGGGGTGGGGGCTTCGCCGGGAAGCCGATGGGTCTGTAAATCGCCGTGGCCGCAGGCAGAGTCGGGCAAGGGCGCCCTGCGGGCCGGGAGAGGGTGGCCGGGGAAGGGAAATGGGACACACACTCACGAGCTGGCATGAGCCACCGTGGGCCACCGGTGGGAACGAGCCCCAGAGGTGCCATCGCTCTGAGGGCCCCGTTGAGCCCCAGCTTTGGAGGGTCACTGGGCGGGGGCATCGCCGCAGGCCCCCGGGAGTCGCGTGGGTAGACGGTCCCCCGAGCCCTCTACGGTTTTCGCCTTGCAGATGAGATGGACCCAGCCCCCCCAGCGCGCTCTGAATATCTGGTCTCAGGGACTCGAACCCCCCCCGTGAGGAGGAGCAGCAAGCTGGCCACGCTGGGCAGGATCTTCAAACCCTGGAAATGGAGGAAAAAGAAAACCGAGAAGCTGAAGCAGACGACGTCCGGTGAGTGCCGGGGAGGGGCCCGTTCACGGTCACCGAGCTCTCCACGGCCGTGGTCTCCCCAGCCGCACACGCTCGGGGACCACGCCGCCTCGCCCGGGTCACGCCCCTCCACTGGCCTCCAGGTCTCACCTGGCCGGAGCAGGTCGGCACCAGCACACCTGTAACCCAGGCCCTCAGGGACACACACGTCACCTGGGACCTCGGTGAGAACGCAGGCTCTGGGGCAGCGCAGGGCTGGGCCGCACAGACACCCCGCTTGGGACAGGCTGTCCTCGCTGGCCCGCCCCCACCGAGTGAGAGCACCCAGCCACCGGCAGCCTGCCCTGCGCTCCGAAGGCCGGGGGTCTGGGCCCCTCCCCAGGGCTGGGTTCCGCTGGCCGGCGCTGGGCCTGGGGCCCGCCATCCCTAAGAGCCCGCTGGGTGATTCGGCCTGGCCTTGAACCTCGAGGCGTCCCTTCTCAGCGGATGCCCGAGCCGGCCGCTCCCGGGCTCACAGCTCCTCCTGACGGGGCTCCCCACCCACGTCCTCCCCTCAGAGGACCTGGAGGGTCCCCTCAGTCACCTCTGGCTGGCCGCCCCCTCACACCCTGCCCGGCCCAGCTCGGTGGGAAGCCAGGTGGCGCCAGGTCATACTGCTGCCCTTGTGACCTGTGCCAGGAACTATGACCATCAGACTAAACAACAGAGTCATGTCTGGTGGCAACAGCAGAACTGGCCATAATAGCAGAGAGCAACAGAGCCCTTTTCCAATCAGCCGATCGCTCAGAGCCACGCCTGTGGCCACCGCTTCCACTGGGGCCCTGCCCGTCTCAGGGGACAGGCTCGGGGAGGGGATGGCGCCCCCGGGGTCAAGCGGCCAGCAGGTCGGGGACCTGGGGTTTGAGCCCTGACAGCCTGGCTGGGCTCGGGCTCCTGAAGGGCAGCGTGTCCCTGTCCTTGGTGAAGGGGAGGTGGGTACCTTGAGAAGCAAACCCCGGGGGAGACGGCATGTCGGCTCCCACAGGCCCCTCTGCCAGCTGCATGCCTGCCAGCTGTGGCCGGAGACAAACGGCAAGGACTCCGCTCACACGGAAGGAGGCCCAGGCCCTGGGGACCAGCCCAGGGAGACCCCGGCTCAGGCTGTGCCTCTGGAGGTCCCCTACCCTCCCCGCCCTGAGGAGGGCGGGGACAGGGCCAGCGAGGGCTCTAATAGCAGCAGCGGGTCCTCCACGCACTTTTCACTCATTTTACGAAATTATTTTTTTAACCACTCGCGAGGCTGACTGCCTGAGTCTCTTTGTCAAGAATGAAAGCAAGCAGACACTGTTATTCAGTGACGCTCACGCTCCTCCTGTGTGCCAAGGGCAGAGCAGACCGGGGACCCAGGCCTCACTCACTTAGAGCTTCCCTAAGTCGGGGGACGGACAAGCAGGCACGCGCACAGCACGGCAGACAGTCACGGCTGCGGGAGGAGCGGGCGGGGTGGTGGGCTGGAGCGGCCGCCGGAGGCCCAGGCGGGGCAGCCGTGGAGCTGACACGTAATTGCCCCTTTGAGAAAGGCAGGGAAAAGCATCGGGGGCAGGCACAGCCCATGCAGAGGTGCTGAGTAGGGGAAGACAGGCTTGCGTGTCTGTGAGAGGCTGAGGGGCCAAAGCAGGGGGAGCTCTGTGACTTCGGGGGAGCCCCTGACACTCTGGGCTCAGAGTCCGGGATCGGAGGGGGAGCCGCATGCTCTGGGCCGCTCAGCACGGCACCGTGGGTGATGGCCCGTGAGGTCGGCAGGATGCTATGGGCCCTTCGGGGCATCGAGGCTCTCTGGGTCGACCTCTGCGGCATCTCCCCCTGGGGCGGGGACCCCCACCTTCAGGCCCTTTATTCAAGCATCTGGGGTTCCTGGGGACAGGACTGCATCTTATTCTAAACATTTTTTTCTCCTCCAAGCGTGGGGTGTTGTTTATTTCAGCATATCAAACCCCTGGTTTCACAGGCGGCATCGGCTAGGATGAGATGAAGTAAAAACAGAGATTAAAGGTAAAAAGGAGCAAACGGTGGTTCGGGCGAGGATCTGGCATCGCCGTGGGGTGGCCCTCAGCAGCTGCCGTTTGGGAAGTGGCACCTGAGCCCGTACCTGCTCCACAGGGTGTCTCAGGTGGCGGGGCAGTGTCCCCTGAGATGGGGACAGCAGACCCTCACAGCTTGGTCTTCAGGTCTTTGGGGAGACATTGAATAGAGAAGGTGACATCTGCCTTGAGCCAGCCCCGGTGAGTGCCACCCAGCGCTGGTGGGCGATGGGGGCCCCTTTTCTCAGAGCCCTGGCCCCGTCGCCCCTGTTTCTAGACCGGACGGCAGCCTTTCTCCTGGCACCCTCCGAGAGTCAGGATCCATGTCTGCCTCATCCACACTCAGGCCATGGGAATGGGGTGGAGATCGCACTGCCCCAAACTGTCCTCTCCCTGAGGAGTCTCGGGGAGAAGACTTGGCCCCATCCATCCCTCAGCTCTCAGGGGCGTCCACAGCCCCTGCGCCCAGCGCCCGCTGCTTCTGGTGGAGTCCACTGTCTGTTTGTCCTCTGTCCTCCCCCGTGCACTGGGCCTCAGGCAGAGGCCGGGCCTGTCTCGCTTCTCTGTGCCTGGCACACAGTAGGTGCTTTAATTGCTTCTCACTGCCTGCTCCCCCCTAGAGCCCACGTTCCCCGAAGGGGGGCTGAGTTGGTTCTGCTCCCCGCGACCACCGCCAGCACATACTCAGCACTTGGCACGTAGTAGGTGCTCAGTAAATAACTGTGAACAAATTAAGTCACTTTATTGTCATTACCTGCTGTCGTCTGCCATGACTTTAAGCTCTGGCAGGCGGGCCGGCTGCTTGGTCCCCACTACAGCCCGCACGGGCAGTGCCGGCACACACAGGTGACACGTGGGCCCTCGTGGGCCAGGCTTAACAGCCGACACTCTGTCCACGTCTTTTAGAGGAAGGGTCCGAGGGTTACGTAGGTTTGTATTTGGAGAGTGTGCTCTACCGTAGGCTCATCGTTTTCTGGGCAGTTAAAGGAGATTGTCAAGGAGCAAGCGCCCCCCCCCCCCGCCCC